CTTTTGTACATAAACATGTAATGCACGCAAGCTTTACAACGATGACATAATGCATATTGACTTTTTTTAAATTTCTTTTTTATTTTTACTTTTTTGATCTTTATGAAGCGATAACTTCTTTAATTATTGTGTAGGCCGACTATCCAGGCAGGGGTTTCATTGACGTTTTCAACAGGAGGGCTACTGGTTTTCACAGGCGGGCAAAACTATTAGAACTGAATTTCTTTGAAAGAATAACCTTCCGCTAGATGGTCACAGCAGCCGGGTAAAAATGTCCTCAAAGCCAGTCAATTTGCACGGTGACCAGCCCTCAATGAAACCCCTGTGCAGGGGCGAATTTAGGGGCGGTGGATTGGGTGCCTAGCCAACCCCCTTTTGGAGAAGGAAAAAAAATTAAAAATATAAAAATAAAAATATTGTGAATATCATGATAGAAATTCGTTAACGCACAACCCTTTTCGCACCTCATCAGTTTAAGAGATGCCCGACTTAAATATTGACACGTAATTCCAACTTGATGCTGTACATGTATTGATCAGGAATCCACAGGTTTGTCAGTGTCAAAACTGCTATTGGTGCTACGCTGGTGTCAGTTTAGTGATTGACTGATCGACGAGCTGACAAAACCATATGCTATCTTTAAAGTTCGTCTTTAGACTTGCTTGCTTGTTTCTCTGAATTGGTACTGCTATTGATGTTCAATAGTTTCTGTCGGCTTTCTTTCACAGTATCAGCTGCCTTGTAAACTAGCCTCATGAACTCGTCTACATTAAAAGCATAGTTTGTAAACTTAGCATGGGCACCTAAAGTAGGATGATGGCCCTGTTAACACAAAGACAAAGATAAATTACAGTTAAGTAGTTATCTTATTTTACAGTTTTAAGACTTGGCACTAACTATTATTTCAAACCACAATAAACAGCCACATCTTTCACAACAAATTGATTTCAGGTGAAGAATTTATCTCTGTCAGTAGGAAGATTCCTCTGATGATAAGCTAAGGGGAGATAGTCATACCGCACTAAAGCAACAGCTGGGAAATTTTTACTAGCACCCTGCTGGACCACTGAGCTACAACGGAGCAATTACCTCATCTTCTGGGTAAAGCTTTTCCTTGTGTTCCCAAGTGATGTAGTTGACACCCCTGAAATTAAAATAATCAAAAAAAAAAAGACAATGACAGACATACTGATAATGACAATGACAATGACATTGAGAATGAGAACGATAATGATGATGATGATGACGATGATGATAATGATGATGACGATGATAGCAATAGTGATAGTGATAATGGCAATGGCAATGGCAGTGATAGTAATAAAAATAATAATAAACAAAATCAAAGATAAAAAAATACACTCACATGAGTCTAAGTGCTACCAGTACAAACCGTCTTTAGGATCAATCATCAATATTGTTACTACAGACTGTTGAAAAAGACTGTGACTTATACATTATTCTGTACTACAATACAGGTACTCGGCTTACCTTAGTCTTGCCAAATCACTGTAACAGGCTGGGTCTTCTGTGTTATAACTACAGAAATGACAATTAAAACTTTGAGAAACAACGTATTTTACAAAGGTTGGAGATAATGAGAAACTCATAGTACGTATGTGCATTTGTATAGTGCAGAAGCATCCAGTTTCACACTAGTGCCCAGCCGTTTCCATGTTATCAAATCACAAATGCTGTTGTCTGTGGGGATTGTGACTCAAATTTCAAAATTTCAAAACTCTCCATAAGACCTTTGCATGCATGGCTTATTTATTTTATCATTAACTTTACATGTACCTGTAAGTACCCATAGGTTAATTGGATCATTCCATTATGGCCCTGGAGAAGTGTCTTCTTATTTTTGTTAGCTGCACACTTAAAATTATTTGGAATTATGAGCCTAATGGCTCAAGCATTTTCTCCAAAGAACGCATATCTGGATGTTGAATTTAAGTCAATAAAATAATTATATAATAATTACAAAAAAAGAGTAAGAGTTAGTTTGCCAATAATGGTCTGATCACTGCTAAATTACAAGTCTGTCTTACAATGCATCACAAAGGCATATTTTGCAAGAGTGGTTAGTAAAGATTATAATTTTCATAAATGTTGTATGTAATAAATCACTTACAGTTCAATCAAGACTGCCCAGTCTGGTAAAAACAATGCATGTGTGAGTCCTGCTCCATGCATGCCAATAAATATGTCAGAATTATGCGTTATCTGGTGCGAAAAAAAGTTAATAATTTATTACTTAGCCAGTTACTTTAAAAGCACTAGCTGATAAGCAAAAAAAAAAAAATTGTGACTGCTGTGGGACTCTGATTAAAGTGGTTTTCAAGTCCTGGCTGGTGTCATTGTGTTGTGTTCTTGGGGAAGAGGCAGCACTCTCACTCTCTCTTTCCACCAAGGATATAAACAGTGGACTAATATCTCATACAGGGGATAGGGAGAAGGGGGAAGGGGGAAGGAGAAAGGGTGAAAGGGGGAAAGGGGGAATGGGGAA